AAAATTTTATCTATCCAATACAAATATTTGACAAAATAGTCACAATGTTTAAAATTTTTTCCTCATTTTTAATTGAATATTTTTAGAAGCATTTACCACATTTACACTATATTTTCTACTCTCCTGTTCTCTAGCAACTATTTTTCTTCTTAATTGCTGTGAGTTTGACTTCCTAAAATGTTTTGCACAAGTGATACTATAGAATATTTCAATATTTGTCTTTACTTAGTTTATTTTCCATTGCTACTCCCATCACCATCAATCTACATTGTAGTAAATGGTAGATTTATTTGTCTCTTTTGTGGCCACCTTGTGGTGCTCAGGGCTTTTTCCTGACTCTGATTAGGGATCAGTCCCGGTGGGGCTCCAGCATCCATATGATGCTTGGGATCAAATTTGGTTCAGCTGCACACAAGGCAAGAGCCAAACCAATTGTACAATAGTTCTGGCCCCTTAAATTTAAATGGAATCTACATTTTCTAGTTCTAAGATAATTTTTTCTCTTAGAAATTTTTTCTAATTATTTATTTTGCTTTTTCTTGGCTGAGCTATCTTCCTACAACTGATGGAAATACTACAAAATAATTCATTTCTCTTTCTAACAAAGTGGAGAGAACTTACTTGACACATCACTAGACATTGAAATAATCTATAGCAGCAGGTATTGTAGCTTATAATAATAGATACATTATGTGATCTATTTTAATATTGATTGATAATTTTTCATTTAAATTTAGTCAACTTCAGAAAGTTATAAAAGTAATAGAAATATCTATAGAATCTATTAAAATCTAATATATGATCTTAGATTTAAAAATAATATCTACTCAAATATAAAACATGGCCACTATCACTGTCCTCCCATTGTTCATCGATTTTCTCGAGCAGGCCCAGTAACATCTCAATCACGAGACTTGTTGTTACTGTGTTTGGCATATTGAATACGTCACAGGTAGCTTGCCAGGCTTTGCCGTGCGGGCAAGATACTCTTGGTATCTTGCCAGGCTCTCCGAGAGGGGCAGAGGAATCGAACTCGTGAAGGCCATGTTGGCTGCGTGCAAGGCAAACACCCTACCCGTTGTGCTATTGCTCCAGCCAACATGGCCACATGATGCAATATTTATATAGCAGAAAACTACTCTTGGAAAGAAGATGAATGTGTAATGAACTATTGAATTCCAAATGCAGCTCTACATAAAACTTTCATAGAACATTTCTGTTATAAATATATATTGAAAAATTTGACATAATTCCAAGTATTTTTAAATTGTTAACTAATTGCTCTGATATAACAATATTTGGTTTAGAAAATACCTTGTTTCAAGTGAAGAGTAACGAATGATTTGAACATCACTGTCTAAATATATTCTATTTTAAATACCTGATTTTTTTAAACATAAGGTTATAAGAGAGATGCCATGAATTAGTATTGCCAATTGATATCATTGCCTCTATTGATTTCATTCTTTTCAAATTTTGCTACTTACATATAATCACACCTCACCCATTAGTTCTAAGGGGACCCCAGGCATAACTTTATGATTCCTTGTAGTTCCATTTCAGATTAGCACAGAAAACCTCATAGAGTTCAAATGCTTTTTCTCCAGCTCTACCAGCTTTCTAGCAACATAACTCACATCACCACATTATTATTCAGGTTTTATTTCATTTTAAAAACTAAAAAGAGGGAATTTTTCCACATTATACTTTTGTTTGTTTAAACACAGTGTTCCTTTAGATTTTCTAGAGAAAGAAACACTGATATGATTAATAATTTTCAACACTATTTCTAAGGGCTGGAGAGATAGTACAGTGGGTAAGGTGCTTGCTCTGCACACAGCCAGTCCATGTTTGATCCCTAGCATCCCAGATGGTCTCCCACACACTGCCATGGGCGCAGAGGCAAGAGTAAGTGAGAGGCAAGAGTAAGCCCTGCAAATCAGTGGATATGGGCAAAAATCTCCTACCACACTAATATACTATATACCCCACACAAAAAATAGCATCAGATTGTTTTTAAAGGAAGACATTGAAGTTTGGAGGTATATAGCAATTGAAAGTTGTACTCCCAAAATTTATAGCTTTGTAAAACAATAGTAAATCAATAAAATTTTAATTAAAAAACAGAAATATATTACCGCTTTAAGTCAAAATTGCATTATCAGGAAAAATAAATATATTACTCACTACATTTATGTTTATTCCTTTGAGATTACTGACAAAGAAAAATCTGCCTTAATTGCATATACACTTCATTGCATGTTACAATTGTCAATATTTTAAATTACTTCTAATATTTAAAAAATAACTTACACTAAAACAAAAATGTAAAGAAAATAAGTTTAAAAAGATCAACTTTAGGAGTCAGAGAGATAGAGCAGTGGGTGGGGTGCCTGCCTTACACATGTCTGTAGGGAGTAATCCCTGAGTAAGCCCTGAGCACCACTGGTTGTAACCAAAAATTAAAATAAATAAATAAATAAATAAGACCCCTTATAAATAAACAAATGGAACTACATAATATCACAAAGTTTCTGTATATCAATAAAAACACAGTCTAAAATGAAAAATCAGCTAACTGAATGGGAAAAAATATCTGTACTTTACAAATTAGATAAAGAGTTGATATCCAGGATTATTAAAGTACTGGCTAACATGAGACAATGAACATCATCATTTATTATTAGGGAAATCCAAATTAAAATGACAGTAATATATCATCCCACATCATTAAAAATAGCAAAAATCAAAAATACTGGGAATAATCTATGTTGTCAAGGGTGTGGTGTAGAGGAACTCTCATTCACTACTTAGAGGAACATTGCCAGGTTCAGTTTTCATGGTGAACAATATGGAGATATCTCAGTAAACTAAGAATTGAGCTGATATATGACCCAATAATTCAACTTCTAAATAGCTACACTCATAGAATACAAAATACATTAATTCAAAAAGACATACATTATCCATTGCAGCACTTAGTACAATACCTAAGATATGGAATTGACCTAGATATCCAATGACAGAGAGTGGATCATGAAGATGTGGTAAATATACTCAACAGAGTACTACCCAGCTGTCAGGAAAGTCGAAATCATGCAATACACTGCACCATGTTTGGAACTAAAAGATATGCTAAATGAAGTAAGCCAGGTGAAGAAGGACAAACACAGGATGCTCTCACTTATATATATGGTTTATAAACTTGTCGAAGGAATGGATTTTTTAAAAGCACCCTTGACCTTAGAGTATTTGGAGGAAAGAGGGGGAGAAGAAAAGAATATGAGGTGGGAAAGAAGAGTTAGATGGGAAGCAATAGGGAGCAGGAATCAAGGGGAGCTAAATACATTGGTGGTGTGAAGGAGATAAAGCTAAATATCAACAACACTGAAAACAAGAGATCCAAACTTCAACAACGAAAATTAAAACTGTCAAGGTGGTTGTCTGTAAATGAGGGGCTTGCAAGGGGATGGTCAGGGAGGGAAAATGGGTATCTTGGTGACTGGTGATGGGATAAGTGCTGGAGCATCATGTGTCTAAAACCCAAATATGAATGACTTTGTGAATCTTTCTACTTTAATGAAAAAAAAAGAATTTAAAAATTCAAATTAGATCTCTTGGGGCTGGAGCGATAGCACAGCGGGTAGGGCGTTCGCCTTACAAGCGGCCAACATGGCCGACCCGAGTTCGATTCCTCCGCCCCTCTCGGAGAGCCCGGCAAGCTACCGAGAGTATTCGATATGCCAGACACAGTAACAACAAAGTCTCCAATGGAGACGTTACTGGGCCCGCTCGAGCAAATCGACGATCAACGGGAGGGCCTTTTTACCTTTAAATTAGATCTCTTAAAGGTGAAATGGGTATAGCACATGGGCATATAGCAAACATATTAACAATTAGGCCCTCCTGTTGATCGTCAATTTGCTCAAGCGGGCCCAGTAACGTCTCCATTGGAGACTTTGTTGTTACTGTGTCTGGCATATCGAATACTCTCGGTAGCTTGCCGGGCTCTCCAAATTAACAATTAGATGTACAATAATAATGTCTTCATAGCAGTAGAGTATAACAGATGAAAACAATTGATAAATCTTAAAATAATGTGAAAGTGTTACAGAAAAATGCAGAAAGAACATTTTTATATACTTTATAGGTGAATTTAAATAATAACAATATAGTTGACAAAACTGCCTGATGTTCATAGTTAGAAGATAATTTTAGGTATGATTCACAAACTTTTAGACGCTTAAGTAATAGTTGTTAAAAATGGAAAAAATAAAATAATGGTAGATAAAATGCAATTTTTCTTCTTTATAAAATTTTATTATTAAATCCCCCAATTAAAAAAAATTGTGTTTTAGGGACTAGATGATATATTGAGTGTCACTTACACTTGAATGGTTCTGTTTTAAGACTCAGAAAAACAAAGGAAAATAAGGTTACAGGAATAAAGAAATAATTACCTCCTTTTAAAGTCTCTGAGAAAGAAAAGTATTGTAAATACAAAATAAATTCTGTACCTATTTAGTCCACAGGAAACCTTCATTTTTCTCATCAGGCTTATTTTCCCTTTAGTATTCATAATCTAATGAATATAAATAGAAAGTGTTTACAGAGTAAACACCAGCATATATGTGATTTCATTCATTGATTCTAGTTATGGTTGCTAACATAAGTTCATATACATATATACATACACACACACATATATATACACACACACACACGCACACACACACACACATATATATAAAAGTAAAGTAAAGTAAAGGCCCTCCCGTTGATCATTGATTTGCTCGAGCGGGTCCAGTAACGTCTCCATTGGAGACTTTGTTGTTACTGTGTCTGGCATATCGAATACATCACGGGGAGCTTGCCAGGCTCTGCCATGCGGGCAAGATACTCTTGGTAGCTTGCCGGGCTCTCTGAGAGGGGCGGAGGAATCGAACTCGGGTCGGCCATGTTGGCAGCTTGTAAGGCAAACACCCTACCACTGTGCCATCGCTCACTTCGGCAGCACATATACTAAAATTGGAATGATACAGAGAAGATTAGCATGGCCCCTGCGCAAGGATGACACACACAATATATATATATATATATATATATATATATATATACACATTTATATACTTTTAACACACAGTTCTTGTCCAGAGTGATCATTCCCAGCTACGATTGTCACACTGGTCTCATATCTTTTATTTTTGTAAAATTTTTATTAGTGAAACACCATGAGGTACAGTTGTAGACTTACAAATTTTTGTGCTTGGGTTTCAGTTATACAATGATTACGTATCCATCCCTCCACAAGTGCCCATTCTCCACCTCCAATGCTCCCAGCATCCCTCCCACCCCCCTCCCCTATCCCATCCCACCCCTGTGGCAGGGCGTTCCCTTTTGTTCTCTCTCTCCTTTTTGGTGCTGTAGTTTGCAAAAGAGGCATTGAGTGGCAATCATGTTCGGTCCATAGTCTACTTTCAGCATGCATCTCTCATCCTGGGAGATTCCTCCAAACACCCTTTACTTGGTGCTCCCCTCTCTATCTGAGCTGCCTTCTCCCCCAGCATGTGCAGTTAGTCTCCACACCATGGAGTGAATCTCCTGGCACTTACCTTGGTTATTCTTGGGTGTTAGTCTCCCATTTTGTTTCCTTATATTCCCCAGATGAATGCAATCTTTCTATGTCTGTCCTTCTCTTTCTGAATCATTTCACTTAGCATGATACTTTCCACACAATTAAAGGATTCAGTAGATAAAATTAAAAACTCAGTAGGTGCCCCTAGCAGTAGGATGAATACAGCTGAAGATAGAATCAGTGAGCTTGAAGATGAGCAACAGAAATAGCATAGGGAACAACAAACAATGGGAAAAGACCTCAAAATAGCTCTAAGGAGAATCAGAGACTTAGGGGATGCTGCCAAGAAGAACAACATTAGAATCATCAGAGTACCAGAAGGACAGGGAGGAGCCCAAAGGAAAAAGCCACAGTGAAAGAAATTATTGCTGAAAAGTTCCCAGAGTAAAAGAATGCAGTGATCCATATCCAAGGAGCCAGAAGTGCCAGCTAAAAGAGACCCTAATAAAAACACTCCAAGGCATATCATAGTCAGAATGATGGATGCTGTGGACAGAGACAGAATACTGCAAACAGCAAGGTCAAAGAAGGAAATCACATACAAAGAAGCACCCCTTAGTTTTACAGCAGACCTATCAGAGAAAACTCTCCAAGCCCGAAGACAATGGTGGGTTATAGTGGAAAAAAAAAAAAAACTCAATGAAATGAACGCCTCACCAAGGATACTTTATCCAGCTAAACTCTCTCTCAAACACATGTAACTATACACCATTTTGTAGATAAACAACAGCTCAGGAACTTCATAGACTCAAACCAAATCTAAAAGAAGGATTAAAGAGTCTCCTGTAAGATAAGAAGGAAAACACTTATAAACACAACCAACCCCTGCTAACATAAGTTCTAATAGCACTATCCTCCCGTTGTTCATCGATTTGCTTGAGTGGGCCCGGTAACGTCTCCATTGTGTGACTTCTTGTTACTGTTTTTGGCATATCAAATACATCACAGGTGGCTTGCCAAGCTTTGCCGTGTAGGTTAGATACTCTTGGTAGCTTGCCGGGCCCTCTGAGAAGGGTGGAGGAATCAAACTTGGGTCGGCTGGGTCGGCCTCATGCAAGGCAAATGCCCTACCCACCGGGCTATCACTCACACAGCATAAGTTCTAATAATCATCCTTATTTTTATTAGAAATTGAACTAATCATACAATGTACAGATGAGAAATTATTTTGTTTGAGCCAAATATAAAATTATAACATATGTAAGTATAAAGTATATATAAGTCTTAAATGAGCTTATTATTGTTTTGTGAGGTTATATACTCCCAGGTATAATTTTAGCAAAATATCATATGGGATTTAAATATAATACACTAACAAAATTTAAAATCATATTTATTGCAGAATTGTGATTGGTTATGTATATTTCTGGACATTTATTTCAGTCAGCTCAGTACCCATATAGGATGTAGCAATCTCAACCAGTGGAAATTAGACCCCTACTATAGTCAACAATATTTATTTTAGAGTTTAGGCTTCTAAAGGACACAATGCTTTGCTCCCAGGAGGAAAATTGTCCTTATATTTGCTCTGTTTCTTATATGATATAAGTCGATGAAATAACAGTTGTGTTTATATAGATTCAGTCTTATTCCTTAGTCAGAGTTGTAATTGGCCTGAAAAATCTTTTCTATTCAGAAGCAATTTCCACATGTTTTACGTACTCTGTGTAGTCTTCAGAGAAAGAATCAATAAAATTTTGAAAATACTATTAGTGGAAAAGTGGTAGGGCTAAAATGGGTTATAATTCAGAGGATTTTATTTTTTATTATTTGTTTTTACAAAACATGCAATGAACACACAGAAAATAAAATAAAATTTTTTGTTTTTTGATATACATGAAAATAAGAATTATCCTAAGGCAATCTGTTGAAAGGCCATAAATAATTTGTTAGTTGACTAGTCAAACTTTCAGTAGGTTATATTTTTCTTTTAGTTACTTATGTTTTTACTCTTGGTACTTATTTCGCCTTTCAGTTTTTTAGACTAAAAAAAGAGACGAGTATAATATGCAAATTATTTCAGTGATGGTTTACTTACTGCCTGCATCAATAGTCTAACACTTATATACCAAAACTATTAAGTACTTTCACAGGTATACATTCAATTCCAAAGAAAGTGACACCACCTCAGTAAAGTACCTTATGGGGCCCTGAGAAATAACACAGTAGGCAGGGCTTTTGCCTTGAATGAAGTCAACCCAGATTTATTCCTGGAACTACATAGTTTCCCTGAGCTCCATGAGAAGTGATCCCTGAACACAGAGACAGGAGTAGCCCTTCAGCATCATCAGGCATGCCACTGTCCTCCCGTTGTTCATTGATTTTGCTCGAGCAAGCCCAGTAACGTCTCCATTTTGAGACTTGTTGTTACTGTGTTTGGCATATTGAATACATCACGGGTAGCTTGCCAGGCTCTCCCAGAGGGGCAGAAGAATAGAAACCGGCTTGGCCGGGCTGGTCACGCGCAAGGCAAACGCCCTACCGCTGTGTTATCGCTCCAGCACAGGCATGGCAGAAGAAACAAAAATTAAACATATAAATAAAATTAAGTGCCTTGCAATAAAATATTTCACAATCATTCTGAAAACTTGGGTTTGTAATAATTTGATCCGATGATATAAATGTCTATACATTTAAGCAAAAACATATTGATTCAAATAATTTAAAATATTTTTAATTTTTTCTCAACACTGAATATACATCTTTTCCACAAAATCTAATGTATTCCTTGCATTTAAATCTTTCATTTATCATTCTCAGCTTTTTATATTTACTAAATATAAAAAAGCTTTTTATATTTACTAAATATAAAAAAAGCTTTTTATATTTACTACATGATTTTATTTACTAAAGCCTTAATTGACAAGGATTAGAATGTGAGTTGAAATAAGTAACTTGAAAAAAATTACAATAACAAAGCACAAAACCAGAGAATTTCATTTTGGGGGCAAAGAATCATTTTTCTTTTTATTATTCTTGTTGTGACAAGTTTTAAACAAATGTTAATAGTATATAGGATCTTGGCACAAAATATTAATGTACCAGACACACCAGCAAGATTCGATAGCCCTTCGCCACTGTCCGGTATATGCCTTCAATCTGTTTCCTCTCCCCAACCCCATCTGTTCCATTTATTGGTACCATGTCTCTCACTTTGGTAAACTCAATTCTGTTGTCAGAGTCTAAAGTTTGGTCCACATCAACATTATCTATTTCCTTCTTTGTTCTCTTTTTTCCCTCTAGTTTTGCTATAGATTTATACTACTATTAGTACCATAAATAAAATAAAGTTTAAAGTACTATTAATACTATAAAAATAATAAAGTTCAGGCATGGTATTCCAACATCACACCCATCAACAGTTTCAGGGGTTCTCCAAGAGAGTCTCGAGTTCTCTTTCCAATGGCGCCTTGGCAGATTCACTTCTCAGAATCTGTAACCAGTGGCCAACTGTTACTCCCGTTCTTACTAGGCTTCTTCTATTTCAAGTATGAAAGATCATTCCAGTATTTGTCACTCCCTCTATGACTGACTGAATTCAGCATGATAGCCTCTGGTTCTAATCAGGTAGCAGAATTTTCCATGATTCCATCTTTTGTCATAATTGAGGAATGCTTCATATACTTCTTTGTGCATATATAACACAGTTTCTTTATCTGCTCCTTTGTTCTTGAATGCTTCGTTGTTTCCACATTTGTACTATTGTGAGTAGTGCTGCAATTAATATAGAAACGCAAATATATTTTCAGAATAGAGAGGATTAGTTTGGCCTGTAGAGTAGATGCCCAGAAGTAGAATTGCTAGGTCATATGGACGTTCCATTTTCAATTATTTGAGAAGTTTCTATACTGTTTTCTGTTGAAGCTGACCAAAGCAGCATTCCCACCCATAGTGAATGAGATCCCTTTGCCCTACATTGATATTTAACTCATACACATTCTAATCCACCCATTATTTTGTATAGTACAATATATTTTAGTTATATCTAGGGTTGTTCAAGCATCTCTATAATTTATTTATTAGATATTTTTATCATTCAAAAAGTACGATTAGCACTATAAAAATAATATAAAAAGGAAACTACACTCATTAGTAATCACTTTACATTCAAGTTTCAACAATCCTTGACCCTGCCCCAGCCCACCCTACCTTAAGTGTCAGGTTCAAGTAAATATACTTTCTGCCTATGTGGGTTTGCTTGTTTAGGACATTTCACATAAGGGTATTCAGACAAGATTTACTGTTTCTGTACTATTCTTTGACGGGGAAAAATGTTTTCTAAATTTATCCATGTTATTATATGCCCCTGTATTGTTATTCTTGTTCTACAGATTTCATTTCCAGTGGCGCTCAAGGGTCGAATGATGCCAGTGATTGCAGTTTATATGTAGTTTCAGCTACATATAAGAGAAATCTGAAGCCATGGAACTTTATCCATTCTCTGGATTTTCTTTTATGATTTTCACAGAAA